ATAACAGCAACAATATGTTACCATCATTCTACATGAGCTCTAACTCGTCCATTTGACCTACTAATTACCCCTGAGTAGACCTTGAGTATTCTTGTCTCACATGACCTAGAATGTCCTTCCTCCTCCTCCCTTTTTAATCCAGTACCTATCCAATGTTTTTGGTCTTTTCAAGTTTTATTGTCCTCTGTGAAACCTTCTTGATCATAAGTCATATGATGGTAATAATCGATACACACCACCTTGCTTTATTTTTTATCTTTTTACATGCTTTTGTCTCCCAAATAAATGATAAATCCACTGAAGTTAGGAACTGTGGCTTACTAATTGTGGATACCACAACATCTGGAGGAGTGATTTGCAAAATGTATATAGGCAATAAGTATTTATTGATCCTGGTAAACAGTTTTAACTTACCCAACTCTATATTACATGCTTTTCTTTGAAATTCATTTACAGAAGACATAGATTTATTTGGGCTTCACTTTTGAATCTGAGTTTAAAACTTTTTCTGAACTTAAATAAGAGCCTCTTGTGAAGTTATATACTATGCTTAAGACTTTCTAACCCCACCTCTAATTAGAAAATATGATTGACTGATTTATAAGGAAGACAGTTATTTAATTATTAATGCTACTTATATTTAGTGAATTCATGTAACTTCATACCCATCAAAATATTTTTCGAAGACATTATATTTTTTGGAAATACATGTAAGAACAGTAAAATATCAAAATGAGATTTTTTAGCATTAGTAAATGACACTTTATTTGCAAACCCAATCCTAAACAGAAATTTTAATTAGAAATTGTTAGTATCTTTTTTTTCTAAATAAAATAAAGGCTCATACCAATATGTAGTTTCATTTCTTTGTGCCTAAGTTGACAGCTTAAAATGAAGGAGAGATTAATTGGATAGATAGCAAACGTGTCATACCTTTTCTTTCTTCTCCAAACACAACTTTTTGTCATTAGAACACCATTTTGTTTTCTGCTGACATTTGAGTCTAAAATGAGAGAGTTGTTTGAATGTTAGATAACCAGAGCAGTGGCTCAACATGACCTTAAATTTTAGTTGAGTTGTCTAGGTTTTTCTGAGTATGCACATGTTTTAATGTATCTGTAGACATCAATTAGAGCAAGTCTGGCCTTTGGTAAAAGTATCAAACTAAAGAATCATGTGTTCTGTACATATTTTTAAATTTTGAAATCTAGCAATTTCCTTTACTACAAAGGAAAATCTAGCAATCTGCTTTGAAATCTAGCAAACATGTCCATGAAAAATATGTTCTTGATTAATGAGTGAATTAATGGTTTGTTTTGAATGAAAAGTTAATCATTTTAATATTAATTAACCAATTAATCACACGTTCAATTTAATTTTATTATAATGAATATATTTATTACACCCATCAGCAAATCAGTGTAGAAATTGTCCAGAAATGTATTGACTTTTAAAGTCCTTACACTTTTCAAGTCTTTTCTATAAACTCTTCCTTAGAAAAAGCAAATTTACATCAAACGTCAAAGATGGGGATTGTTTAAGTCATAATTTACAGACATCTGCTCAAACTGTTTGATGTTCTTAAATTCAGTTTAAGGTTATGGGGTCATACTGAAATTATATGTTGTTAATACTCTCAATTTTCTGTACTTTGTGTACAGTAATCTCTTGGCAAGTATTGGTTGGTTCATTTTGCCATCTCTTCATATATTATCAGTGTAAGAGACAGGAGTGTGATGTTGATGTGAGACCTTACTCCCAGGAATCTATATTTAAATAAGGTCCTGAATTGAATATAATTAGCAATAATTTAAATTTTTTTATTTAAGGCAGCCACAGTGGTGCACAAGTTTAAACACTTGACTACTAAAGAAAGGTTAGGGGTTACAACCCACCCAGAGGTGCCTTGGAAGAAAGGCCTGGTGACCTGTTTCCAAAAGGTTTGAGCTTTGAAATCTTTGTTTCTACTCTGAAATCCATAAGGTCACTATGAGTCAAAATCGATTTGATGGTAACTGGTTTGGTTTTCTGGGAACTTCAATTGTTTAGTCAAAATGTCTACTGATCACATATATAGTATTTAATTTGTTAACATTATAGATAGGGCAATCAGAGGCTGTTTTGTAAAGCTATTGATGTTTTAATTTTGCTTTGAAGATAGAATGTACCCAGCCATAGAGAGATGTGAGAAACAGAGATGAAGGCAGAGAAAACATTAGGAGCAAATGCAACGTGGGGTGTGGGGGGGAGTGAATCAGTAGGGCAAAAGAAGTAATCTTATGGTACATAGATGCAGAAGCATTGGAGAGAAGTAATTGAAAACGAAGTTGATATGTAAGTTTTCTTGTAATTGGAATTTTCATATGATTCCAGTTTGAAGATTTTTGAATAGGAATTAGTTAAAGATAGTTTTAAGAGGTATGTTCAGGAGCCTAAAAAACACTTTAGAGGCAAGAGAGATGAAAGAGATCAGACTCAGAAAAAGAAATCTGGAAGCTGGTAGCTCAGACTGAAATCAATGAGTGCATAAATTAGGGAAATTGTGCAGAATATAAGGAAAAACGGATACAGGAGATATTTCAGATATTATATTGCCAAGACTTGGAAATTGATTGATGGGGACCAAAAATGGACCAGTGAAGAATGAGCAAGTTTTGGGGGAAGGGGAATGGGTTGAATTTTCACATAGATAGTTTTAATTTAATGTATGCTATCCAACTGAATGTTAGCAGAGGTCTGGAGATTGCAGCATTAGATTTAAAAGGCCAGACTGAAAATCCAAGAGAAAAGGATATTGATGGCATAGGATAGGTTGATATCTTAAAGAAGAAACAAGAAAAGAAAAGAGAATGGGGAAAAGAGCCGTCATTTCTCTTTTCTTTCAACTTTATAATCACTTTTCTGTGTTCTATGTTCTGAGACATGTTCTAACCTTATTGCAAGTTATAAAAATCTCTACCCCCGCAGCCAAAATTTCAGATCTGAATAAATTGCTCCATCTTTTCAGACTCAAGCTTATTATGAGGGTACTCTCAAATTTCGAGTATTCTGAACGCCAACCATTGCAATCAGCCTTCTGTTGACCCCATTCCACTTGAGCTGAGATTTTTGAGGAAATTAGTTACTTCTTGAAAGGAATTGGCATTGTTTATGGTTTGGGGTTACTCACTTGTCCTGTGGTTCTTTCAGAATTCTTCCTATTCTTTTTGACTTCCTGTGCTTTTCTTTATCTGTTTCTCTCTGATATGTTAAATATACTTCAACACTTGTTGACCACCTACTATGTGTCAGGCACTCTTGGAAATCTGAAAAAATATATAAAGAAAAATTGGACCCAGGGCTGACAGGAGAGAAGAAAGCCATATAGCCCAGCCAGAGTGTACTGGAGAGTTTCTCGTGAGATAGGAATTAATCCAGGGAGAAGGTAATAATTCCTGGGAGAAGGAATTAATCAGTCGAAGATGGGGATATGAGGAAACATATTTTAAAGGGATTAAACAGCAAATATGACAGGTCTTTCTGAATAAATATTTTGTTCCTTTTCATGTTTTTGAGTCCACATTTTTTTTTTGTTTTGTGAACATTTTCAACATACTTATGTTACACTTTTAGTCTAGAAATTTCAACATTTGAAATCCCATGAGTCCTTTTCCCCTGTGTGGTATTTCAACTGACTCTTGTTCAACGTAGCTTATTTGACTGTGTATTTCCAAATGTCAGGATGTGAGTTTAGGTTAAACAGAGCTTCATCTATAAAAAAGGTGGGCAGTTTGGTCTGATGATGTAGTTCTTATGAAGAGGATTTATGTTTGCTCCTGTCACTTAGCTGAGGATCCTCATGCAAGACCGCTTTTTAGTTTAGTTTCTCAGCTTGGACTTTCTCAAACTAGGATAGGGCAGAAGTGTGGTTAGTGTATCCAAGGGGGAACGTGATTTCTGTACCCATATCAGGAGAGACAAGTCCCCTTGTCATCTTCCTTTGCTAGTGGGTTGACTCATTCTGTATCCTTGTACTGAGGGTGAATCTTTCTCCAGCTCCAGGGTTACCTGGTGTTCTGTATAGCACCCCGTTGTTCTGGACAAGGTGGAGTCTATCTGTGTATAGTCTGTGCTTATCTAAACAATCCTTTAGGTTACTATGATCATCACATGCTCAGTTCAGACTTGTATACTAGTTTTCAGATTGTCCTCATATTTTTTTCCTCTTAAGTCTTTGTTGCTTTACTGAAAACTCACCTATGCAGTTCTGGGAGCAAAGGATGGTAAGGAAAGGGTTTGGAGAGTGGTCAGACAACCCTGCCCATCATATTATTAAAAGTATAAGCCTATCAATTTGTTTTAAAACATAATTTTAATTACATGTTAAATTGTAGAATATCCAACCATTTTATTTCAAATTTATTTACGACAAACTTACTTAAAATATTAAGCATACCCTCTATCCTGTTGTTAGCGTACTAGTTCCTTCACTTAACTTTTAGTGAAAATGAATACTTATTCACTTTCCCTATGCAGTAGTGCTTCCCTTACCTGTATATGCGTCCTTTTATTGAAATATTTTAGTAGATACCAAAATGAAGTTCAATTTGTATGTTTCTTATTGTAGTGACAGTGTAGGTTTTACTCTTTCAAACAAGTTTCCAACTGATGAGCCGAATTTTCTTTGGCTACTGCCCAGTAGTACTCATCTAAGTCCTAGTCAGTGAATATGGAAAATCTGTCTGATTAGGAATTTGCTCTTTCACATGACTACAAGAATAAACATATTAGCTTGAATAAGTGATATATCTGGTCTGCTTGTGAAATACATAATAATTTAACATATATAATGTGGTTGGATTGTATTCTACAAAATCTCCTGTTGTATTTATAGGCAATTAAAAAAAAATGGGGGACAAAAATAATTGTGACCTAGACAATGTGGTTTAGACATTAGGTATTACAATTTTGGAATTCATATTTGAAACCACAATTAATTGCTACTCGAATATCTTTTTCAGCTCTTCTTCAAGTGACGATTTCACTTAGCAAAGTAGAGCTTAGTGTGGGTGAATCTAAATTCTTCACATGCTCAGGTATGTATTTCTATAAATATTTTCAGATTACTTCTTTTATGCTTAATTATTCACAAAATATATTGTCGAAAGTTTAATTAGTTAAAAACTCAATTCTCTAAAAGTAACGTCTTATATATTCATTGGATCTGTAATAATTTGAAAAGTGTTAATAATTGCATTTTGCATATTAAGCACTATCAATTTTATTTCTGTGAATTTCAAGTTATTAATGTTGATGAACAAACAAACCAGTGTTGTTGTTTTGTGCCTCCAAGTCAATTCTGACTCACAGTGACCCTATAGGACGGAGTAGAACTGCCCCATGGGGTTTCCAAGGAGCAGGTGGTGGATTCAAACTGCCTACCTTTTGGTTAGCATCCTGAGCTCTTAACCACTTTGCCACCAGGGCTCCACCAAACAAACTAGGTCATTTATTTTGAAAATAACTTACTATCATATATAATGTATATATAACTTTTAAATATTTTTAGTATTCCTGTCTAAACAGTAGTATTAGATGACTGTAAAGATTATAACACACATCTTTATAATTATACAACAAATAAATTAGATATGGCACACTGTACCATTATTATACCTGAATGAAATTTTTAAAACAAAGAAAATCAAACTCATTTTTTTTCAAAGTTAATATTTAGTGCTTTTTTTTTTTCTTTTAATTTAGATATTTATTTACTCAGGAAACCTGTTGCTGGATTGATTTGATTGTTAATCCAGACTTTCTGGAGCCATTGAGGCTGGATGGACCCCTGAAACTGTTGCCCTGAGATAATCTTTAAACTTTAAACCTTAAAACAAAACTATCTCCTGAAGTCTTCTCTGAACCAAAAAAATAGCTTATCTTAATTAGTAAAGTATATCTGCCTTTAGCTTTGTGCTCTCTTAAAGAATTACCTATAAGAGGTCAAATTGACAATGACAACTTAAAAGGTTGGATAGGAAGCCTAGGGGGCAGTGGGTTTAAGATAATGGTGGTGGAATAATTTGGAAAATGATAGCAAGAATGGTAGCACAGCTTGAAGAATGTAATCAGTGTCCCTGAATCGTAAGTGTAGAAATGATTCAAATGGTGTATCTTTGACTGTGTGTACTTCCAGCAAAATTAAAAAAAAAAAAAAAAAGTATCCAAAAGGACTCCTTCGGTTTAATCATATACATGCCGAATTCATTCATAAAACATTTAAATACTTGAACATGAAATTCAAATTCAGTGCACTGTAGAACTCACAAATGAACACATTCTACTGTCTACATTTAGTTATATTCATTACATTCATTTTTACGTATACAAAACTTCATATCTAAAGTTTAAAAAATAAATATTTGTTTAGTGACAAAATTGCTTTTGAGGATATTTTTTAATTGTTTCTGTCCTTAATTATATTAAAGTAATTCAAAATGTTGGATTAAAATAGTCATTAATGATATAAAATGCATTTCAAATATTGTCTTGACAATAGCTTATTTATATTACTAAAATTAATAAAACTAGAAACTTAGTCATAATAGTATGTTTATAAATCATATCTATAATATATAGGCAAAATATTACATATTTTGAAAAATTAAATAGCCATTATTCTTCTATAAAACCCGTGGTTCTTTTTAAAAGTCTGCATTGACGGGTGTGCTGATAATTTTTTTTGTATATTGACAAACGGAAAAGCGGAAAGTAGATTGGTTCAACACCATTTATCATGCCAGGGACAGCTCTGGCATAAGATTAGAGATCAATTGTCAGTGTTTCTAAGTCTCATTATTCATATTTTATCTACACACAGACACACACACAAACACACCTCAATTGTATGACATAATCACAAAATAATAAAATACTTTAAAATTGAACTTTTTAAATAAAATTGTTTTATTTTTATTTCTTTGCATACTACTGTGATATAAATCGAGGCCTGTTGGTGCAGTGGTTAAGTGTTTGGCTGCTAACCAAAAGGTCGGTAGTTCAAATCCACCAGCTGCAACTTGGAACCCTATGGGGCAGTTCTACTCTGTCTATAGGATTGCTATGAGGCGGAATCGACTCGACGACTACTTTTTTTTTTGTTTTGGTGAGGTATAGATCACATAATGTAAGTTTCTATGTATATATTACTAAGATTCAAATTAAGATATAATTTAGAAGTAAGGATTAACATGCTTATATAAAGATGTATAAACAAAACCTGTACTGTAGCCATGGAAGTGGCCGTATTTATATTAAATAGTATGGTAAAAGAACCATCTAAAAATAAAGATATGTGAAACCGATGTGCATCAGAATGTTTGCATGTATTTTCTCTGCTGGCTACACAATTGTGAATATGTAGATGTGACTCTGGAGTTGCCAGACAACCTAAAACATAGACATTTAAAACCTAGTATGACTTAACTTTAAACTATAATGTGGCCATGCCCTTAGAAAAGTAAGTAAGAGTGTGTCATGGGTAGCAAATGAATTTTTGTAGCTAATCTTCAAGCAAGTAAAATGTTTAGTAGCATTTATTAATAATCTATCCAATAGTCCAGTCTTATCAATAAAATAATGTGGAAAGTTTCATTGGAAATTATAATTTAAAATGCAAGAAGAAAGAGGATTATGACTGCTTTATGAAAATCCAGATTAAACTGTTATGTGTTAGAGAACTCCATTTTAATGAGATTTTATTGTAAATAATTAAGAGTGAAGATTTCCAAACTATTAAATGTCCTATTTAAATTACTGTTTGAAATGATATTTTTTGTTTAAGTGTAAAATGATGTACTTTTGAATTTTTTTTTAAGTTTTCTATTGAGAGAGAAATAAAATCAATGCCTCCCACCTCTTACCTCAAACAATGAGTTATCCTGTAAGCACTGTGATTTCACGGTTCTGTTAAAAAAAAAAAAAAAAATTGAAGATGCGCAACTAATATCCATTTAACATTAATCTAAACTTTTATACTTTTTACTCAAGTATGTATAATTTACTGTAGAAAAAGAGGAACTTGTTTTTAAAACTACTTCTTGGAAAAAAAAAAATGAGATGAAACGATTTGCTTTAAAGACGTCCTGCAGATGTTAGTTAACATTATACATTTTCCCCAGATATTTTTGAGTTAATAGTGTATCCTGCTTCCTCAAATTATCTCAAGTAATTAGGTGAAATACATCCTTTTGGTGACTAAAAGCAAGCACAGGATGCTCCAGTTTCTACAAAAAGGAGAATAACCTAGATGCTGAATTGGAAAACTTAAATAAATGTTTACCCTGTAATGATTTGGTTGTAATTGCCTTGCAGTGTAAGTATCGTTTCAATGCATTCTAATTATCATATGATTAAATAGTTAACTGCTTTAGATTAAAAGGATGAAACTGCTCATTTCAGTTGGGAAAAAGAGATGAGCACTCCATTTTAAAAATACTTACCGGCCTTATCAGGACAAGTTTAATCAGTTGGTAAATTAATTCAGAATTCAGTATCATCAATGGACAAAGTTTTTTTTAACAAAATATTCACATTTTTGTGAGCTCTGGGTTTTATCGTGGAAAAACATGGTACCTCATGACCCTAGCAATGAGAATTTAGCCTGCGAAATCGTGTTAGTAATGGCGCTTTTGTTCAGATATATCTATCAAGTAAGATTTATATCTTGCTCAGTGGCCAAGGCCATTTCAGCACTTAAGTGAGTAATAACTTATGGATTACTTAAATAAGGGTTCACATATGATAGGATAAATACCAAACAGGAGGTTTTCTGTGGGACTTTTGGATTCTGCTTACTCAAACATGATTGAATCTTCAAAGTTGGCTAAATAAGGATGAACATGTGTGCTAACATTTGTGTTTACTTGCAATTTTGTAAGATTTTCAGATTCCCAGTCTTCCTCCTATGAACTTTTTCTTCTAAATCGTTAAAAGTTGTTACATAACAGTAAATGTCAATGTCAAAACAAACACTTGAAACATATTCCCAAATGTTTCTTTACTATGGCTCTTTGCAGCAATTGGTGAACCTGAGATTATAGACTGGTATAATCCTCAAGGAGAAAAGATAATTTCTACACAAAGGGTAGCTGTGCAAAAGGATGGTGTTAGGTCAAGATTAACCATATACAACGCAAACATAGAAGATGCAGGGATATACCGTTGTCAAGCAACAGATGCCAAAGGACAGACACAAGAAGCTACAGTCGTTTTGGAAATTTACCGTAAGTCATGTGTTTATAACTTTTAGTTGAATGAAAGTACCATTTCTTATTTTTAAAAAATCAAGCAAAATAAAATGAATTTAATAATATAAACTAACACCCATTGAGAACTATGTACTAGGCAGTGTGCTTAGACCTTTACAGATACCAGCTTTTTGATGCTTTACTATTGCTGTTGTTGGGTGACGCTGAGTCAATTTTCAACTCATAGTGACCCCACGTGACAAAGTAAAATTGCCCCATGACGTTTTCTAGGTTATAATCTTTCCGAGAGCAGTTTCTCCAGGGAACACTTCCAACATTTTGGTTAACAGCAGAGTGGTTATCCATTGTGCCACCAGGGTTCCTTATATTTTACTATAGAATAAGTAAATCTCTAAAATAGAATAGGTACTAAGGAATGGGTGATTATAAACACATAGATATAAACATTTAAACATGGAGCCAATTCTGTTTTTTTAAAATAATGTAAATGAAAATGTTTTAATTTTCTCATGAAAACTTTGTTGCAAAATAGTAAATGTAATTTATTTTGTAATGAGAAATTTAATGAGGTTAGTTTTTCCCTCTAAAGTAAAAGCTCATGATTACAACAAATGAAATTGCGTATTTGATAACACTGACCAGCCTAGAAGGAGAATTGGGGAAGGGTCAGGGAACAGGAATAGACAGAGAGAAAGCTGAAAACACTTCTTGTGAAGAATAATATCTGCCTGGGATCCTTCACCACCAGGCGTTATCATTAACTGGGTTTCCCATACTTACACGTTATTTTATGATTTGGGATTGATTGGTTCCCATCTACCTTCCTTTCTCGTCCTCATATTTAGCCATCATTAACCTATTTAGGAACACTGTCTGGAAAGTGTGCTGACTCCCTGGACTTGAAACCAGGCCCTACCACTTACTTTTGTGACCTCTAGCCAATTGCTTGACCTCTAGCCAATTGCTTAACCTCTTAACTTTTGTGACCTCTAGCCGATTGCTTAACCTCTTTGTCTTCAGTTTCCTCATCTATAAAATACATACGGTGATAGTGCCTACCTCATAGAGTATTTGTGAGGAGTAAATTAAATTTGCGTAAAATCTTTGGAACAATAGCTTACAATCCATACGGGATAGTATAGTGAAAAACTATAAATTTGTAGAATACTTGCTCATAAGCTGTCTCGTCATTATAGCTTTTTCTTGATTCGAGCAACAGGAGATGGGGGTAGGGGGGTTTGTAACACAGTAGTGATTCCTGTCTGATTAGCAGGACAATTTCTTGGTACACTGTTGCCCTCAGTTTTCCTGATTTGATCTTTTTTCCATATCAGATGCTAAGCTCCTTGAGAAAAAGTATCTTTTTTTATTTGTGTGACTCTGACAACATTTATTTCACAAATAGCAGAAACTTAAGTTGGAATGGTCATTTCATAGACACAGTATTTGGAAAGATTCTACATTATTTTAAATAATGTCAGAGGAAAACCCTTAATGTTTTTATTTTTGATAAGAAAGAGGTAAAGGGAAGACTTTTCTTTCAAGAATGACTTAACTTTTATGAAAAGTTCTCATGAAGCAAAAATATCCATGTTCATCAATGCATTCAGCAATTCAACACATCTGCTGAGTACCTATTACATGGCAGACCCAGAGTCTAGAAACTCAGTACTGAGTAACAGAAAATTTCCGTGGCCATGTGGTGCATACCTTTTAGTGGGTAGAAACAGACAAACAATATATAAGCCACAAAGAAAAGATATATAGATGATAGGTATACATGTGATACAGTTCTGTGGAGAAGGAGCTAAGTGGGGAGGGGAAATAAAGAGAACTTAAGTGTTAGGGAGAACTACTTTTTTATATGAGGAGGTTGGCCAGAAATCTGAAGGAATTTAAGGGAACACAAATACCCTAGAGACAGAGTAAGCCTAGAGTGCTCAAAAAAAAACTGACGTTTTGCCTGGAGCACAGTAGGAAGAGAGAGAACATACCGGGATGAGAGTGACGAGGTTGAGTCTGGTTCATTATGGGCCTGGCAGGCCATTATAAAGATTTTAAGTTTTATTCTCAGAGAGAGGGAAAGTTAGTGGGTAGAAGAATGAGATTATCTGGTTTAAAATGTTAAAGGATCTAAAACCAAAGAAACCCACTGCCATAGAGTTGATTCCAACTCATAGCAACCCTATAGGACAGAGCAGAACTGCCCTATAGGATTTCCAAGGCTATAAATCTTTACAGAAGCAGACTGTCCCGTCTTTCTCCCACGGAGCTGCAGGTAAGTTTGAACCACCAACCTTTTGGTTAGCAGCCAAGCTCTTTAACCACTACACCACCAGAGCTCCAAAGGATCTAAGTTCACCTAATTATTTTATTGTAAACTCAATAAACGTAGATTTTGGAATATGTTACTGGAAGAAATAAGCAATAATATTTTTATAATGGGTTTTTCTTTTTCAATACAGAAAAGCTCACTTTCAGAGAAGTGGTGTCTCCTCAAGAGTTCAAACAAGGAGAGGACGCGGAAGTGGTTTGCAGAGTTAGCAGCTCGCCTGCACCTGTTGTCAGCTGGTTGTATCATAATGAGGAAGTCACCACCATTTCCGACAGTTAGTATTTTGGTAACTCTCTATGTTATATGTTCTAACAATACTGTACATTTTTAAATGTCTTTATCTACCTGGCTAACTACAGAAATTGGGCTCTTTGATCATAAAAATCAAACAACTCTTTTGGGAACCTTAAAGTTCTAGACTGTGGCCTGAGAGCCAAATTCAGTGTGCCTGCTGTTTTTGTGAAGTGTTATTGGAACAGCATGGCCAACTGGTACGTACTGTGTACGGCTACTTTTGTGCAGAGTTCAGTAACTGTGACACAGGTGGTGTTTTCCTGCAAATACTAAAATATTTACTCCATGGTGCTTTACAGAAAACATTTGCCACGCCTGCTCTATACTCAAGCAAAGATTAATACATTCCAAACAGTACACAGATACTAAGTAAATGATGACACCAATCCTCATGTATTCAGATTCTATATATTTCAGTCATGATCCCATGGTTTCACCATATGTAAACTTAATATCTATATGAATTATCTTTATTATTCTGGGACTGTTCTTTCAAGGACACCTACATGTTCTAAATATTATGGTAAGATACGTATGGATAATAGACAAAAACAGTATATTCATTGCAGTTGTCTTCATGATTTTGATTCAGACTGAGCTAAAATTCCAGAATAATATGACATCTGAAGTTGAAAGCATAATTTGCCTACATTATGCTACTTTACCATTGTGCGTTGGGAGCATTTTCAATTTAGAACATTTTTCAATGCACCTGCGTTGCAGAGAGGTACAAAATAATTGAATCTTTTTAAATAATTTTAGATGATTTTGTTTCGTGTTTCTAAGAGATGAAATTTCCACAGTGTGAGAGGGAAAAAGTAGAGAGTATTTATTTTTAAATATGTTCAGAGAATTTAATCATAATCATGTACAATACTTATTTATTTTTTAAAATTTTGAAAGATTTTTCTAGACTCGGCGTATTCAATGCTAATCAGTTATTGGCTCTTTGTTTTCCTGTCACAAGTTATTGAGAAATAACACTCTATTTTCTCTTTTTCATTTTGTAATATCTGCATTAGAGTTTATTAACACATTGCATGGGCAACTTGTGCAACTCATTTTCAGCTTTTTTTCCTACAGTAATAAATAAAAAACAGCACATTTATAGCAGTTAAATGATAATGTCTACATACTTCCAGGTTGCCCAATCTTAGCCTTCTAATGTGCATCTGGTTTAAGTACCCCTTAATTACAAGAGGGTTTTGAAATTATGCACATTTTAAAAACGCACATGGAACATAAGCGTCAAAGCAAAGATTGAGGGGTCAAGTGTAGTGGTGAAGTCAGGATGATGCTTCTGTGCTACAGCGTACTTATTTTGTTCCCAGTATCCCAGGCTGGTGTGATGTGAATGGGAACTATGTTTTGCCTCTACTCCCTTCCTAGGCCCCGAGAATTCGAACAGCTTTTCTAACTGCTCTGTACCTAATTAAAATTCTTCATTTGTTAACCTTGGATAGTTATCATTTAAAAAAAAAGATGATGAGTTTTAAATAAGACCTTAGGCATAAAATAAATATTTCTTTGATGAATGAAAAACGTATTTGGTGATAGTGACTGGTTCTCAATAAATGACGTTTATTTTTCACATCCCTCCTTGTTGAGTTTTAAATCTTGAGTATCAGTTATACTAAAATTATATGCATTCAAATTAGCTATATAATCAGAAAATCCAGTGTAGGGAACACACCAAAAAAATTAAACCCGTTACGGTCGAGTCAATTCCGACTCATAGTGACCCTGTAGGACAGAGTAGAACTTCCCCATAAGGTTTCCAAGGAGCAGCTGGTAGATTTGAACTGCCAACCTACTGGTTAGCAGCTGTAGCTCTTAACCACTGCGCCCCCAGGGCTCATGACTAGAAATAAATATGGCAGGCAAAACAAAAAGGAAGGTAAAATATTTTTGTTTAAATTTTTTTTTTTACTATAAAAGAATGGAAGTGAATTGTGAGGAAGAACAGACTTTTCTAATGTTGTAAAATTAGGGCAACTTGCCACATAGTTCATCATCAAATACTGTGTACATTTTTAATGGATTTATAAGAAGTAGTTGTCCTTCACATGACTGTATCTTACATGGTCTCTTTATTAAAGCTAGTGGAATGAGATTAGGTTTATAACTATGAAAGAAACATGTATGTGGATTTATAATAATATAGTAGATCCAGGAGGCTTTCCGTTGTTTTAAGTTGGTACAGTGCTACAATTCAAAAACTGCAGAGAAAACAACGATAGCTTGGAAGTGTCCATCTTATTAACTAAACTTGTGATAGCATCTGTGTGGCAGACGTTTCAAAATTTAGATTCCTACAGAATACTTGAAGTAGAGGTTTTCCATATTACTTGTTGGAAGATCTTTACGCTATAGAATCCAAGCATTCAGGGAGTAAAGATGTTCGTTTGTTAAAAAATTGAATATATTGTTTTTTTTAGTGACGTCCTGATGGCCGTGCTATTTGCAGATGCCCACTCAACCTTGACAGGTTTGAGAGGTATCTCTTAAACTTTCTAAATGCTCTGATTGACACCATTCTGCATCAGAAAGCGTGGATACCATCATATAGTTTTATAACTTTTTAATGTAATCTACTTCTCTTGTAAAAGATGCACTTAACACTTATTGAATACTTAGTATACGCTAGCTAGTGTATTAAAGATTGGGGTTTCAGTAGTCAACAAGATAATTAAGTTCACTGACTTTAAATATCTATAGTTTAGTGGGAACGACAAATAGATAAATCAGTGAAAACAAAATAAGCTGAGGGAGGACTATGATAAATGCAGTGAAAGAGGATGATAAAGAAAGAGCACTAATTAGGGCAGAGGAGGGTGTCAAAATCACTTGCCTGGAGGGAAAATTGAACTTTAAATATGAGTAGGAATGAACCAAGTAAAAGGTGGTGGGTTTTTTTTCAGAAAGAGAGAATGCTATTCACAGTGGTCCCAGAGGTGAAAGATAGCGTAGATGGCAGCTTCCAAAACTGGAATAAGTTCAGAATAACTAGAACTTGTGAATATGTGCACTCCTAATACTTGTATTAATGTATAAATATCCAAGATTGTCATTAAGGGACTAATAAGAAAGGAAGCTGGAGAGGAAGACCTAGCCAATTCAACATGGCCTTGAAATCTCTGTGAAGCAATTTGGACATTGTGCAGGAAGGAGATCCCTGAAGGATTTTAATCAACAGAGTGACATGACCTGATGTGTATTTGACAAGGATAATAATGCCTCAATGAGGAGAATGAATTGGGTGGGAATTAAGACAAAATTACAGGTTTTGAGAGAACAGTTTGGATGTCAATGAAATAATTGCTAGAGGAGGTGGAGACTTAGACTGAGTAATGTCAAAGGGACAAGTGATAGGACATAGGGTTGATTGGATATGCAGACCGAGGGAGATGGAGAAATCAAGTGTGACTCATGGAATTTGCCTGAGGAAAATCATTCCATGTACAGGCATTCACAGAACTGAAGAATATCATGAGAAATTTCAGGTGGATATAGACATGCTAAAATTGAGATACTTACAACCCTTCTAAATAGGTACATCTTGTAAAACTGTTAATTAGTTGGTTCCAGATCTCAGATGAATAGTCTGGGCTGAAGAAAACAAAATGTGTCATCAAAAATAGATGGTAATTGAAACAATATGAATAACTGAGACCAACCATTGAGCTAGTATAGATTGAAAACAAAGGAGGACCAAGGAAATAACCTACTTGAAGAAGCATGAAACAGATACCATATTGGGTATTCTCAGATTTCATTTATATTCCTTACTGCAATATTGAAAATATGGGTTTATTTTATAATATCCATAGTTACTTAGTATATGCTAGCTAGTGTCCTAGATATTGGGGTTTCAATAGTTAACGAGATGAGTAAGTTCACTGTTATTAAGTATCTATAGTTTAGTGAGGCTGCCCCGGTGGAGTTAGTGGTTAAGCATTTGCTAACCAAAGGTCAGCAATTTCAACCCACCAGCGGAAGAAAGTGATTCCAACCCTCAGAAGAAAGATGTGGCAGTCTGGGTTTGTTTTTTTGAGGAGGTATAGTTTAATGGAAAAGACAAATAGAGTGCAATGATTAAAGCAGTCGCTTCTTCAAGTATTTTCTGGAAAAACTTATTAATGATACCCTTTGGTTTGATAGTTTGTTGACATCAGTCCACGGGCTTTACACACACATTTAGACTATGACATGGGATTTTAATATAATTTGTTTTCCGTATGGAAAAGTTTTTTTTTATATAAACATATATAATGTTATATGTATGTAGATTTAGCAGGTAACTAATGTCTTCCTAATGCCTTGACAGTTTTCCTATGGATAGTAAATATAATATATGAAAATACCCATTTGAAACTAAAATTTTGCGATCAGAAGAAAAACTGATATACTCCTACTCCTCACTTACCTACTGTCTCATTATCTGACAATTCACATTTATGACAATAGTAAAAAATCTACTATCTGACTATTTTGCACATTAACAACGTACATCCAGCAGTAATGTATGCTGTGGTGTGAGCTGAGAGTAACGCTGGCTGTGATGGTTAAGGTTATGTGTCAGCGTGGCTGGGCCATGATTCTTACTGGTTTGACAGTTATGTAATGATGCAATTTGGCAGTTATGTGATGATGTAGTCATTCTCCATTTTGTGATCTAATTTGATCATCTTCTATTTTCACATAACACTGATTTTCACATAACGACTTGGTCTTTGGAACTTAAAACCATGTCAATAAGTGAGGAGTGGGTGTATGCCTATCAAAAAAATATATTTTGTGAAATCTAATTCTTTCTCTTTTATATCAAGTATTACCTTTCTGAAAATAATGCTTCCCTTTACTCTTTTTCTTAATAAGTTATAAACATTAAAATATTATATTTTAAAGCATAATATGTTTTTAGTCAGGTAAAAATACAACATTACAATGATCTAAATATGATTAGGTACATCACTAATTTTAAAATTTTTCCATTTACTTATGCTTCTCATTCCAATTTCCAGCTACAGGAATCTTCTCATTGAATTTGAAAAACTATGTTTTTTTAGGAATTCTGAGTAACTCCAGGACCTTTTATGAATTATACTTCAGAATTTCTTACAGATTACCATCCTTTATTCCCAGTTGTTCCTTTGAAATTCCATGTTTGTGCTGTAATATATCAGGTGAAAAGATATGCTTAAACATTTTGTTTTGGGTTAACCAAAAGGAGTTGTAAACATTGTAAACAAGTTTAAATCTCCTGGGCTGAAAATCATATGGTTATAACTTTTTAATCAGTATTTTCTTTTCTTAAGTAGCCTTTGAATCTGGCACTTTTCACCTCCTATTAGTTATTTAGCTGTTAGACAACGAGTAGCCACCTGCTCGCTTCTTTTAATGACAGTCCATAGTCTGGTGGTGCAATGGATAAGTGCTCAGTTGCTAACCGAAACGTCAGCCGTTGGAATCCACCAGTGACTCCATGGGAGAAGAGACCTGGCAATCCGTTCTCATAAAAATTACAGCCTAGGAAGTCCTATTGGGTGGTTCTACTCTGTCATATTGGGTTGCTATGACTCTGAATTGACTCGATGGTATACAACAAAAGTGTAGTACGATGATTATTCATTTTTCCAGCCCAAATCTCTCCCCTCGCATTAAGGATAAGCTATGGCAAATTAGCCCCAACATCGGAGTGGCTTAATGTCATACCAGTTTATTTCTCACTCATGCAAATTTCAATTGGCAGCAGAGGCAGAAGCAGGATTCTACATCACACATCTAGTCAGTGACCCAGAACAAAGGAGGCATTTCTGTTTTTACAGGTGGCTTCCATGATTGAACTAGCCTCCTTAGCAACCGAGCAGATAAGAGGAAGAACAGTAAATGTTGGAACTGGCCCGTGAAGTATCCCTAGACTGTAGATATCTCAGGGGTGAGGTACCTGAAGCATGAATCAGGGGCCGATGAAATGGCAGCCAACCCCAACAACAGCAACAACTTGCACAAAAGTTCCAAGGATGTGGAACCTGTGCCTTTCTTATTCACCAATGTATCTCAAATGCTTTTTAAAGTACCTAGCAAATAGGTAGTGTTCAATAATATCTATGGATATAATAAAATTTAGAGTATTGTTTGTACAACAAGTTTCAAAGTAGGACTAGACATAAAAGCATTCTTAACTTGATAAGAGGGGAATAGATCTTAATACTGCAACAAAACTAGGATGAAGATAAACTAAAGTTATGGAAAATAATGTCAGGATGCGCTGCTACCGTGACTAGCCAGCTTATTTTAAGTAATCAGTGAATTAATGTTTTGTATCTGCTTATTTGGATATGCATGCATGTGCACATACCCACACAAAATGAAATCTTGAAATAAATTTAATGAAGTCTAATCTATTCATTTTTAAAATGGATTATCTTGCATTTAGTTAAAAAAAAACTCTATAAAATTTGAGATATAACCATATCGTATGTCTTTTATATGACTTGAATATTATTGAATCATTTTTCTGCCACCTCAGGGTATGCATAAGTATTAGTTTAATTATTGTGTGTGGAAGGTTGTTCACTAAATTTTCTAATCCTTTTACATAGCCAAGTTGCTACATATTTGCAGCCAAAACATTTTCATGTCTGCAATATCTAATCTGTCTGCATTGTTCTTTTGTGTATCATTTCTGCATTCAGAGTATCAAGGGGAAAATAATAGCCTAACCATTTTATGTGGAAATAAATTCTCCAATGTATTTTAGAAAAAAAAAAAAGTGTAACAAGGCAGTGTGGAGTGGGAAAATTGAAGTCATGAAATTACATTTTACTTTCAAATTTGGATTTGTTTGTTGATGAAAAGTTTGATAGTGTCAGACAAGGGCCGTATTTTAACTCTTAGCAATTTAGAACACAAGGACTCTGCCTTCAATTACTTATATCATTTCCTCCACTTTGCTTACTTTTCAGATCGGTTCGCTATGCTAGCAAACAATAATCTGCAGATTCTCAACATCAGTAAGAGTGACGAAGGTATATACAGGTGTGAAGGGAGAGTAGAGGCTCGGGGAGAAATTGACTTCCGTGATATCATTGTGATCGTTAATGGTAAGTAATGAATAACTTATGCATATTTTATTGCTTCATTTTATCAGTATTCTTTTAAAAAAGGGCAACTGTGTAAACTTCCCAACACTTAAGACTCCCCTAACAAGCTTCTACCCCAGGAGAAGGCTTCCCGCCTTGGTAATGGTGTTTCCTTCATTGTATTCCAGTCTCAAGGGCAGGACCCATAGCTTCTGTAATCGTGTCATGCTCGTAACGTTTTCCCTGAGTCTAAGAAGTAGTTTCCTTTTGCTCAGTTTGTAGTTGTTGAAAGAACGCTGAATGGATGACAGTAAAATAGACTATTAGATTTTACTTTTAGAACATGCATAACTTTTACTTAGTCTCATATTTATAGTTTTTTCTCAAATTTCATAATTGAATTCATAAGCTTACCCTTTCAAGTATTAACAAATATCAATAATTAATTATGATGTTATGATGAGATCTCTTTACTCAAAAAATATCCTCCAATATTGCCTACTGTATTTTTTTGTCTTGCTTTTCCTGCTATGTTTCTTGTCTGTGTTAACCGGACATTCTATGAGGCCAGAAGACACAGTAAAAATATACTATATGCCTCCATTTAGGTCATCTAATATGTTACCAAGACATGCCCATGAGATCTCTTTAGCATCTCTCAGATACATCCTATTTTCTCTTTCATAATATCTTGCATGAAAATACCACCCTTCCTAATAGTTTTTGTTCTTTGATTGCTACAACTTGGTTTCCCTACTATCAATTCCACAACTCCAAACTTCCTCTCCACCAAACCTTTCCAGGCTTAAAATTCTTCAAAGCTTCCCATTACTTCCCACCCCTTTCCTAACCACTCTGCCGATGTCAGAGTGTCAGCCATATGGAAATAATAGGAGAATCCTATATAAATGCACTTGTACTATTTTATCTTCTGCTTTAAAATAACAATGACTCTAAAGACAGACTTCTATAAGCAGAATATTATTTGTTCTTTTCAGAATAGATACTTTTGAAATTAAGGAGTTAGCCAAGAATTTCCTATAAGCTGCGGCAGAAACGGGAAAATGAATTATTGTCTTCTTTCATATCCTTACCCAAATGCTTGTTTTCAATTTTTTATTAATTTCTACCTCTTTTGACCCAGAATTAACTCCACTCCCCACCCCATACATATCTCTCTAGTTTCTTATATAGACTAGACACCATCGGGAATAGTGTGTAAGTCTGAGAGTTATGTCTTCCTCTGTAGCAAAAGTAGTTTAACTGCAAATACCAGCTAACAGTGAAAGGAAATCATAAATCACTGCTATTTTTTTTATGTCCCTCTTTATCTGAGACTATAATTAATTGGGATTCGTGGATAATAAAATGGAATAGACCAGAGGTAGTATGGACCTATAAGCTAGGCAAGTTGGTAGAAATTTTGCAGATTAATGGGGGAGACCCAAGCACAGGCCCTCAAAGGAGTCTAACTTTTCAGATGCTTTTTAGAAGTTCAAAGTTCAGTATTTTTTTAAGGGTGTCATAGTCAGTGGAAAATTTATTCATCAATGCAGGAGGAATATCTTGGTGCATAAAAGGTATGTTTCAATTATTAACCTATATCTATACCTACATCAGTGAAAAAGAAGAAGCCCCTCTGGGAGAGAGAATGACACACTGGCTTCAACAATAGTCTCAAGCATAACAATGATTGTGAGGGTGGTGCAGGACGGGGCAGTGTTTCATTCTGTTGTACACAGGGTCACTATAAGTTAGAACTGACTCAAGGGCACCTAACAACAGCAACATACCTATATCAGAGTCCTGGTGGCGCAGTGGTTAAGAGCTCAGCTGCTAACCAAAAGGTCGGCAGTTCGAATCCACCAGCCGCTCCTTGGAAACCCTGTGGGGCAGTTCTACTCTGTCCTGTAGGGTCACTGTGAGTCAACATCATCTTGAAGGCAACAGGTTATACCTATATCTATCATTCCCTCTATCTCTGTCCCTATTATATATAATAAATAAAGGTAACCTGCAATGACTATTTAGTGTGACAATTACGACTTAGCTATCTACCATTCTTTATCTCCAAGAGAATTTAAAGTGGCATAAAAGTATATTTGGTCATAGAAAGTGTTTGTGCTTCAGTATTCTATTATGAAAATGGAATTATAAATATAAATTAGTATGTGTAAAGTTCTTTACAAAAGTACTTAGTTTATAGGAAGCAATCTAAAACCAAAAAAAAAAAAAAAGTTGCCGTTGAGTCGATTCCGACTCATAGCGACCCTATAGGACAGAGTAGAACTGTCCCATAGGTTTTCCAAACAGCAGTTGGTGGATTTGAACTGCCAACCTTTTGGTTACCAGCCAAGTTAACCAAACTACTGAGCCACCAGGGCTCCATAAATGTAAATTAACATATGTAAAGTTCTTTACAAAAGTGCTTAGTTTATAGGAAGCAGTATGAAAGTGTTTACTATTGCTAGTATATGTTATGTGTATGCATATGTGATTATACATGTGTTTTACTAAAATATTAACAAGTCTGTTACTAAAAAAGGAAATGCTGTCTGGGCGATACATTAATGCATTTATAACATGTCCTAATTTGTTTCTGTACTAGATCATCTGTGAGTGTTGACAAATTTATGATTACATCCATTTTGAGAGAAGGATTATTTGAATATGAGATGGTGTCCAGGTAACAAAGTTTGAGCCTTCACGTCTGTTATGCTCTGCATTCTAATTGGAATATTTAGTCTTTACTAGGAGCTCTGGTAGGACAGTGGTTAAGCACTTGGCTGCTACCCAAAAGGTTAGCAATTCGAACCAACCAGCTACTCTGTGGGAGAGAGACTTGATGATCTGCTTCCATAATGATTACAGCCTTGGAAATCCTATGGGGCAGTTCTACTGTATCCTATAGGGTTGCTGAATAGGAGCCGACTTGACAACAATGAGTATGAGTATTGTTATACTTATTTATTTCAGGATTGTAAGTAGATAAATGTTGAACTGTGTTCATTTCTACCACTCAAAAAAATCATCTAATCAACCTCCTATTCTGTCTGCATCAAGGTGACCCTATCAAGAGCAAAGCATCCTTTCCCACATTTCACTTTCCTCTAAGATCCCAATCTGAACGCCTTTGCTGGAACATCACTTTATCTCCAATTCTAGTTAGTCACATTTTCCTTTTTCAGTCACAAACTTCATATTCTAGATTTTCTGGAACTGGTCTTCTAGAAAATGATGATATTCTCAAAATCAACCATTGATATATTCTCCTCTTGGATGATGCAGTCGAACCCTGTCATGGGTATCTATTGACTAACGCCACCGGAAATTTATGCTTTTCTTTCACATTTTGTCTTTACTTCAGCAAGAAAAGTCATTCTATTCCAGCCTTATCGATTCTTGCCCTCCTTACTGTCTCCTTTTAAATCATTAACTCTCTCTAAAAGTGTCCTGTTATTATTTCTCTCTCATAAAAACTTCTTAAAGACATTTCAGTGAAAAGTTTGAAACTGCATAAAAAATAATAAAACACTTTTAAATATATTGTTTCGTCAGCTATAAAATTTGAGTCTTGTTCTGTGTCCCACCTATCAACTTATATTCCAAGTTCTTTCTTTCTTTCTTCTTTGTCTTTTTTTACTACTAATTTTTACCCTTACAGTTTTGCCTTTTATCCTGCACCTCTTTCATCTGTCTTTCTCCCCAGATGTAGTGAAATCCCAACCAAATAATCCAGTCAACTGCTTCTTCATATGCTCTGCTTCCTTGTCAAGTATGTGATCTGTAAGAAGCTCTGCTCTTTCTCCTTTGCTTGCTTTTGGCAGACTTTTCCCTCATGTTTCCACCCTACCATTCCGTCATCTTCTTTTGTTCTAACAATTAGTTGAAAGAGATCATTACTTGGTCCTTCAGTAGTACTACCAATGCTAAATGTTAAACATCTGTCTTTCTGAAGTCCCTGTACAACAATTTTCTTACTGTATTTCTCAGTGCCTGTAAATTATTTTAAGTAGGTTATACATCACTTTTCTTTGCCATGTGGTGTGTGATGATTCCAGTGGAAGGATGATGATTTCCACTCCACTGATTATATGAGTTGCTCTGGCCAATAGTATAGAAGCAAACATAGTATATACCGTGGCTGAAAACAAGCTTCAGTAACCATTGCACATGTCCACTATCTCTCTTGCTTTTTCTTTCTGCCTTGAAAATACCGTGAACCAAATAGTGACTTCGCCTTCATTCTGATACGGTGATGAAGACCTGTGGAACAGAGACAGAGCTGACCTATAGCTGCAAACACATAACATGAGTGAGAGATAAAACATAGTTTTTAAAGCACTGATGTTTGAAAGTTGTTTGTTATCACAGAAAACTTGACACATGCAATGCCAGAAGCTTTTTTTTTCCTCACTTCAACAAGCAATTTAAACACTATCTCACCTTGAGTTACTTCCTGAAATAACATCCCCAAGTATCCGTTAGACATCTTATTCTCCTACTTTCCCTTGACGGTGATAATTTATCATGGAATTTGTATCACCTCATCAAAAATTGACTTTTTAGGTGAAGATTTTTGAAGTTTCTTCTATATTTTATTCATGTTTGTTCAACAAGTATTTGCTAAGTGTCACCTATATGTTTCACAATACGTAAGTGCTAGAAATGCTAGTAAATCTACTACAACATCATTTCCCTTAAGGTACTTGCAGTTGTATCTCAACAACTTAAAGTAATAAACTTTAATAAAAAGTCACTAATTACTTATGGGACTGCTGAATACATTAGCATGTAATAAATGCAGTTTTGTAAACCGTCACAGTCTATTTTATTAAGATGAGCACCTAGTGCAGTCCAAGAGATGAGACTTCCTAGATACTTATGATAAATCCAATGATGGAAAAGAGTGATTTAGTACAGTAGAGAGGGAGGTAAGATATTCCAGGCAGATAGAACGGCATCTGTAAAAACAACAAAATGTGTGAGATACACAAAACATTCCAGTAACTTAACAGCTA